CACGCACTCGGCGGACCATAGTCGACGATTTGTCAAGCATACGGGCCGCGAGAGCATGGCAACACTCCATTTGTTTGGGGTGGGTCAGCATATCAGGTTGCACCAAGTCATTCCCTCCATCATAATGAAAGACGGGAAGGAGTTAGTATGATGGGAGAACGTAGATATTAACCACTGATCGTTAGGAGATCACACAGTTGTATGGGTGTAAGTCTGTGGAAGATCGCAATGTATTGATCGCATCGTGTTGATTGGCACTCACAGTCTATGTCACAGTTGTACGGTCTTAAGAATAATGTCCCAGTAGCCAAATCAAAGACGATGCCCTATAGGCATAGTCACCAAGACGATCTACATGACCGTCTTCCGAGCAAAGAGGAGACTGGGCCGTAGAGCGACGTACAGTGAAGGACAAGCCTAGCAGCATCGTTGTTATCAGAGCACGAAGTAGGCTTCCGCGCAGAACCAGCAAGTCATCAGACCATGAACACGAAGGATGTGAGGGAACCGCTTGTGGCATAGCTCCTCGTATCTCCACTGAAACCATACTCACCTTACTCGCAAGCAAGCAGGAGCACAACTCCCAGCTGAAACCAGTTCCTGTACTAGCCAGTGACCAAATCCATGAGTTCCATGGGTTTAAAACCGCACTCAGTGAATGTCATGGGAGCGTTCATCCCGCCTCCACGGTGAGCAGTGAGCATGTCCGTTCCTCTGGCCACAGGTTGCAGGCCCGGGTGTATGGGATCCCTTGAGGTTTGACACGCGCATATAAGCAGCGCACGACGTCCATCCCGATGTCGTCGCCCATCCAGTTGGGCACCATACTCCAGAGCGAGGTGAGCACTCATGCACCGGGAGCACTAGGTCAACGTATCCAGTAACTGAGCATCCAGAACGTCGTTCGAGTACTAACAATAGCTGTAGAGTTGGCGATGAATGCGAAGCAGATCCGATGGGCTGGATTGGCAAAGGAAGAGGCAGAGGACGGTGGATGGTGATGGTCGCAAGCTGAGAGAGACGCCTGCGAAAGTCGGACGTTGCGAGGCAAAGGCTCCGGACTCGAGTGCGCAGTGCTCCGCTCATCAGCTCAACGTCCTCCTCGACGTCCCCCCTTCCTTCGCCCGACTCTTGCCTCTCTCTTCTACTCACCGCCAGATCCTCTCTGTGCCGTATTCTGAGAAGGGCCCCGCTGGTCGGTATTTGGCGCTGGATAGCACGGCTCTCTCCCCACAGCCTCTCCTTGGCTTGTCGTGATTCCCTCGGCGGCCCTGGCATCTCCCTCGACGGCGCTGCGCCTCCGTCGGATCTCTCTCTCTCCTCCCACCTTCTCCTATGTTTCCCCATCTCCGTCTATGTTGGCTCCTGCTCGTTCTGTTTGCTAGCCTCGACGCTGCTTCTGGTGAGTGTGCATGAATCCACACCAATCAAGGTGCTCAAGCTCAAGTCGTGCCTGTAGCGCTCAGCGCGCCGGCGAGGCCACTGAAGAGACTGTCCCATCCGTCGACCCTCTCCATCGACATCCTCCCAAGGCGATCTCCAGGCTATGGCTACGGCAAGCGATCCTTTCCGGTCGACTCTCCCGTACTACGCCACTCAGACTCTTTCCGCCTCACTCTGTCCGCATACAACGAGACGTTCTACCTCCATCTCCGCCCTAATGACCATCTCATTCATCCCGCGGCGCGCATAAACTATTACACTACCACCCCCGACGGCCAGTCTGTCCTCTCGCGCACGGAGCCCATCCTGCGCGAATCCGTGAGGGCTTACTGGGGCGAGGTCATCCCCGCCCATGCGTCTCCAGACCGCCTGCGCGAGGACACAGCGGGTCTGTTGCGGAATCCGCCCAGCCAATCTGAGCTTGGATGGGCTCGAATCACCGTGTACGACCAAGGTGACGCAAAGACGGGACGACCGCCCGTCTTTGAGGGCGCGTTTTCGGTCGACGGTGTCGTGCACCATATCATGACAAAGGACAACTACCTCCGACACAAACTTTCCCTCGATCCTCATATTCAGGTCTCCGAGGACGACCCGGACTCGGGGCTGGTCATTTGGCGTGACTCAGACGTCATGACCACGCACGAACATAGCGCAGCTCAGGCGATGCAGCCCGGCCTGGGACTCTCGGCGCCCCTTGCCGAGACTTGTGGGCACGACCGGATGGAGTTCAATACAGATCATGCTGTCCTCAAGCGGCCCATCCCTCCTCCTATTACGCCTTGGTATGACGCCTTCGGATTCCTGCGTTCTGCGAATTACTCGAAGCGCGACGATGTCGCTGGTGGCGGCATGGGCATGGAGTAGGCGTCTCTCTGGCTGCGCTTGGCCCGGGAGCTTAGGCTGAAATTCGACGCTCACAGCTTCTCAGACACAATTGGTCAGACGGCCGGATGCCCGACCTCTCAAAGGGTCCTGTATATGGGCGTCGCAGCCGACTGCGAGTACACGAGCAAGTATGGCTCCCCGTCGAATGCGACGCAGCAGATCATCACAAACTGGAACACTGCGAGCGCGCTTTACAAGGTACGTGAGAGATCGCCCACAGGACAGGACCCGGTGTGAATTGTCCCTATCATAGTCCACCTTCAACGTGAGCCTGGGCATCATCGAGCTTCAGGTACATGATGCAGAGTGCGTTCGAGTCCATCCCGGTCCCATCGCTGTTTGCTCACTTGCTTTTCGACAGGTGCCCGAGCACGGCGGATCCCTCGGCGCCCTGGAACGTCGCCTGCTCCGACTCCGTCACGCTCAACGACCGGCTCTCGATCTTTTCCCAATGGCGCGGTGACAAGGGCAACGACAGTGCGGGCCTCTGGCATCTCATGAGCGGGTGTCCGACTGGTTCCGAGGTCGGGATCGCGTGGCTCGCGACGCTCTGTCAGCAAACAGCGTCTGGGAGCTCGCCGTCGGTCGTTTCTGGCACAGCGGTGTCCACCGCCGGACGGACCGAGTGGCAAGTCATTGCCCACGAAATCGGGCACAACTTTGGTGCTATTGTGAGCGAGACGTGTATTGTGCTATGGCTATGGCTAACGATGCGATATGTAGCATGACTGCGCGGATGGGTGCTCGTGCACGGGCGGATGCAAGACGGACTCGAATACCTGCTGTCCATTCTCGAGCTCTTCGTGCGACGCGAACTCCAAGTTCATTATGAGCCCTGTGGCGGAATCCGGAGAAATGAACTTCTCGCCCTGCAGCATCGGCAACGTCTGTGAGTACACGCACTGCTGGCCTGTTAGGGAGCTCATTCAGACCTCTGCGCCATCCAGGCTCTCTCATGCAGGGGAACGTCGACTCGTCGTACAGCGCATCCTGCCTCATCGACCCCTCCGCGCCCACCTCGCTCACCACGTCCAAGCCGCTCATCACGCTCCAGATGTGCGGGAACGGCATCGTCGAGTCAGGCGAAGACTGCGACCCGGGCTTCGGCTCGAACTCGACCTGTTGCGACGTCAAGACGTGCAAGTTCGCCTCGGGCGCCGTGTGCGACCCTGATAGCAGCCCGTGCTGCACCGGCCAGTGCACGTTTGCGCCCGCGACACAGGTGTGCAGGCCAAGCAAGGACGACCGGTGCGACTCGGCAGAGATGTGCACGGGCACGAGCTCGAGCTGCCCAGCAGACGTCGTGGCGCCCAACGGTGAGTTCTGCGGTGCGAGAGCGATGGTATGCTATGCTCATGAAATGTGTAGGCCAGAGTTGCGGCTCGGGGGGTCTCGCGTGCGCAAGTGGACAGTGCACGTCGTTGGATCGTATGTCTTCCATTCGCTCACGCACGTTGCATGCAGAGCTAATCGCTCCTTCTCTATGCTCGCGCAGTGCAATGCCAAACCGTCGGCGCCTCAATGGGGTTGAAAACGGCTTGTCCGAGCAACAACGACAAGTCATGCCAAGTGTCGTGTCAAGACCCTACCGACTCCAGCCGATGTGTTGTGCTTCAATCTACATTGATCGATGGCTCGCCATGTGGTACGTTGTTGCCATCGTGCAATACATGAGAATCGCGGCTGAGTGTCGTATCGTTTAGGATACGGCGGGACTTGCATATCGGGACAGTGTAAGCCTGGAAGCTGGTGGGACACCTTCAAGGTCAGGGTAACTGCGATTCACCGATTTTGCCAGCCACTAATGGTAATCCCCAACAGTCGTGGTATGTGCATAACCTGCAAATATCGATACCCGTGACAATCGCCGTGGGCTTGCTTGTCCTGCTCATCCTCTGGGGTATTGTTCGCTGTGCGTATTCATGTTCGTATGAGAGTCGTGTTCGCATGAGCTGACTTTGACCTGCTATAGGTATCATTCGATCCCGCGCCACCCCGAAGACAGTACAAAGGCTGCCAAGCTACCCAGGACCGGCACCCATGAATTTCGCGCCTCCCGGCCCAGCTACGCAGCAACCTGCTATGTACGGTCCAAAGTAGGCTTCATCCCACTGTACTGTTACCGAGCACCATGCTAAGCGCATCCATCTTGCAGCGTTCCCGTGACAGCAGCCGCAGCCCCATCCCAACGTTCCCGCCGGACGCACGCGCGCCAAAGCTCCATCCTTCCCGTCCAGACACCACCGAACCGCACGAGCGCGCCGCTGAGCCATCGGTCTTCGCACAGCTCGCACTATGCGCCGCAGTTCCCGCTCGAGTCCTCGCGGAACAGCCGGTCGAATTGGGTGGACCCCACAGCATACAACGGGCTCCCGCCCGCGGGTCCGCGCTAGCCCCCGCTGTGCTGCGAAGCGAGACGTCGGTACTTGGCTGGTTTGTTGCGCACACCGGTGCGTTGGTGGACGCTTTTCGTTAGATATCTTCGGTTAGTTCGCTTTGCCCATCGCTACACCTCGTTTGCCCGCCGGAACCGAGTGGGATTCATCGCACCCCGCAATTGTATGATCATCACATGGATGTTGAGGAGGATTTTATGGAATACAACGCCCGTTTCCATCTCGAATCGCCGCTCTGACATTCAAGTTGGAAAAAGATGTGCAAAAGAAGTGCTGCCCCAGTGAGGCTCGAACTCACGACCTTCCGATTGCAAGTTAACAGTCGGACGCTGTAACCAACTCAGCCATGGGGCATGTGTTCAATGGTTCTTATGCGCCATCTCGTTCTGATAATCTGCAACATTCGCATCACTGCAAAGTCACCAGCAACTTGATCATAGCATCCTCTACTAGCTGAGGCAGACGTTCTGATGTGTGATGTGCCCGATGAGTGGGAGATTGGACGGACACAACGAACGCAACTTGAAGTACTGTCAGCCCGAGAAGGCTCGAGTCGACGCGTCGTCAATACGTACGCGTCAGGTATATCTCCGGGGCCCTGGCTCGCCCCTAGCCACAAGCATTAATTGTGTCAAGGTATTGCACTGGCAGATCCAAGTCTACATGACTTTCTCAATCAAGCCCATCCCATTGGCTTCCAGAGTCTCCCGTATGGGGTCGCATATCTCCTTCGAATGCGGAGCGAAGATTCCTGGTTTCTTGAAGAGACCATCAAGCACCATTTGCGCAGCTATCCCGCACGGCACACCCACGTACCGCGCCATCGCCGAGTGCCCATCCGGCTCGCCGTACGCTTCAAGTGTCGAGGTGATCGTGTCATGTGTCCCGTCTGCCCACTCGATGACGAACTTATGCTGAAGGAGGACGAGGTCGCGCTCCCTTCTTCGAAGCGCATGAGCGGCTCGAGGCGGGCGCAGAAGGTGTCCAAGAGGTTGCTGTCCCGGATATCCGCCTTGTCAGAAGAGAAGATCCCGATCCACTTCATGCCAGATATCATTCGTCGGCTTTCCTCTTCGCTCGGGAACTGGCAGAGCTCCTTCACGCGTGCCACCAACGTCCTGTAAATTAGAGCTAACGTGACTATCGCCCTCACAATCGTTAGAAGTCGGCTGGCTATATGACTTACCGTTCATCCGCGTCGGACGCGCCCAGCGCATGCCGGGTGACTTCTGCCCAAGTCAGCCCATCTCGCAGCCACGGCTTTGGCTCCATGTCCAGCAACCCTATCGTCACAAGTGCTCTGACAAAGTTAGGGAACCCCTGATACCGCAATGAGCCGCGCATGACCGTCTCCGCTCCCGGTATCCCATAGACCTCGCGAAATGGCACCGAGTTACGGTTTGGAAATGCTACTAGAGCGAATGCGGGACTGAGGAAATACGGCCGCGCCGAACTCATGAGATCCTTTCCGGAAACATCGACCTGTTTGCCGGAGGAGAGGTAGGTGGCAGAGTTCAGGAGGACAAGGAGGTTGCCCCGAGGCGACCAGGAGAACTTGTACCCCAAAGGGTTTCCTGAGCACTCGGGTGCTGGAAGGCCGCCACAGAAGGAGGTGAATTCCTTGACCTGCGCGGCGATGTGAGCGGGCTATCTGTGATAGCTACGAGCTATTGTATATGTCCTCACCTTGCCACCTTTCGCATGTACCTCGTCGATAGTCTTGATGGCGTAGAGATGGTCCACGCCGGGATTCAAACCAATCTCATTCATGACCACAATACCCGCCTTCTTGATCTCGTCCTCAAGTGCCCGCATGGAAGAGCTGATGTAACTCGTAGTCACGACGTTCGTCTTGCCCTTGATCGCCGCCTTGATGACATTGGCGTGGTATATGGATGGGACGAGGGAGATGACGAGATCGTGGTCTGCAACAGCCTTCTCTAGAGCGGCGCGCTTCACGGGTTCTTCGGAGCCAGCATCGAGCGCGACTGCACTCGCGTTACGAAGACCGCGAACAAGAGTCTCAGCACTTGACAGAGTACGACAAGCTACAAGACGTTCAGATCTCGGTGAATGTCAAATTTCTCGTGCGATAGGGTTGGCAAGGGACCACCTGAAGTTTCTGTACGCACCAACGGTCAGCATGTTCGCAGGGCTGCGCACGATGTATTCCGCGCACGGCCGCGCGACTGCTCCACTGCCAAGGAGGAGCACCCGCTTACAAACGCTAGGCGGCACGCTCATAGCGTCAGGGCCGAACTTCGGACGGACATCTCTCCCTTCATGCAGCAGCACGCGACCAAATTCTGGGATGACGAACGCAGCCTCGTGGATCTCTGCGTTATAGTACCGCGTATCCTGCACGGGGCGCAGAGGTTTGTGGAATGCACGCTCAGGTGCGGTGGACGCGAGCATGAACCCGATCTGACCTGAAGGGTACGTCGGGACAGTGGCGTACGCGTACTGGACCGTAGGAAACACCGAAGCCACGAGGTCGCGCAGCTCGCGAATAGCTTCAGCGTGAAGCCAGACGCTCTCGGCTTGGATGGAGAGGTTGCCTCCTTGGTTCAGAGCGTTGCGCACGCGCTCGAAGTACGCCTTTTGGAAAAGAGACTCGGCGGGGCCCACCGGGTCGGAGCAATCGGTGATGATCACGTCGTATGTAAATGCGCGTTCCGCCAGAAAGTCGTAGCCATCGCCTATGTGGATAGTGACCCTCGGGTCGGACATCAGGAGGGACATGTGAGGAAGGTGCTCCCTGGCAGCCCTGATGACTCCCTGGAAAGACAAGTGAGTTTCGCAGACACCATGCGATAGGGAACGCGAACCTCGTCTATGTCGCAAAGCACGACTTCCTCCACGGTAGGATGCTTGAGGACCTCTCGAATGACACCACCGTCCCCGCCACCGATGACTAGGACTTTCCTAGGATCGGGGTGGGATGCCAAGGGGAGGTGTGCAATCATCTCCTGGTACCTACGATGTGTCGAGAACAATATTCTCAGTCGTTGAATATCACTGCAACATGTCACGCGACCTACGAAAACTCGTCGCGTTCCGTGCACTGCACCACCCCGTCAAGTACAAGGACGTTGCCGTACGTCTCGGACTCGAATACCAAGATGTCTTGATACTTTGACTTCTCGACGTGCAAGATCCTTCGGACCTTCAAGGCCATCGCCTGCCCACGCCATTCAGGCGATACCTCCCTGAACCAGCCATCTGCAAGGGCGGAACATGACAAGATCAGCACAATGACATCATCGACGAACTGATTACATGCCTTTTATCTTGGGGTGAGTGAGAGGAGCCATGGTGGTAGTAGCGATTGCCAGCAGATACAAAGACGTGAATACTTAGCGGACTGGAGAGAAGGTCGACAGTTCGGCTTAAGGTCACGGTCGCTTGAACGGTCGCTTGAGCGGTCCCCTCTAACTGGGGGTCGTCTGACTCGCCGAGTCGCCGACGCAGTGCGTCACGCATGGCTGGGCTGTGACGAATTGAATGATGCACCGTCGCTGTACGGGTCCTAGAGATCTGCGGCAGCCGCCCTTGCGTACCCGCCACGCTCTGCCTCGCATCGTAGAGTATACGGCAGAGGGTGGATGATGCAGTCAAGCGTATATACATTACAACCTACCTCGCACAGATTTTATGGTAGCAGAACCCGTCACTGGCCGCAGTGCTCGTGATTGCAAGGCCCTAACTCAGCTCTTGTCGGCGCGCAGCTTTCTGCATGAGTCAGTCAGGTTGATGGTTCAAGCCGTGCAATGCACAAGGACGTTGGACAGCGCATAGGAGGACTGGTGCTCATGGCGGTCGAAAAGATACCGATTGCTACCGCTTCCGGACCTCGAGCAACCTCGAGCTTACCATATCTGGCTGTACACGACCGTCACTGTCACGGATCTCAGATACTCCACGATCGCGCATACTTGGGCATGGATGTGTACGCCGACAGTGTGTATGCCATAAACTTGAGGAGAACGCTCTCACAGACAATGCACAGACGGGGCACCTGCAGAACAAGATTCTGTTGTATCAAATCGTGTACGAATAGTATATGTATGCAAGACTGCAAGACTGACACGGCTCCCGCCGGCGAGTAGACGTCCGACAGGGCCATACCATAACCAGTCAAACCAAACCAGACCCAACTCAACCAAACCACCCCGCGCGCCACTCAGACGATACTCGAGCCCGTGAACGCCGACCTATCCGGGCTCACCGGCGGGCTCCCCCCACTCCCGCTCCCGCCCGCGACCCCGCTCATCATCGTCTCCCTCCTGTCCGTGTAATACCCCATCTTCGCATCGCGCGGGTACCCGCGGGGCGACGGCAGCCCGCTCTCCGACGCCTCCTCGTACGTCGGCGGCGGCGCGGCGCCCGCGTCGTGCATGCCGAGCAGCGGCGCGTGCGCGCTCGCGGGCGGGGACGCGTACCCCGCCCCGGCGGCGTACGGGTTCGGGAGGGACGGCGACGCGGCGCCGAAGGTGTAGGGCTCGACGGTGCTCGCGACCTTGTGCTCCTCCTCGATCTCGGCCGCGCGCTTGAAGAAGGTGTTGTCCTGGCGCCGGCGGATAAGGTAGAAGGCGAGGAGGCCGAGCGCGACGACGCCTGCGACGCCGCCGACGGTGCCGCCGACGATCGCGCCGATGTCGCGCGAGGCGGTGGAGGAGACGGTGCGCGGGGCGAAGCCGACGCTGGAGATGCCGGACTTGGGGATGTTGAAGATGCTGCGTGACGAGGTCCGTGAGCATGGGCGTCTGGCTCTGAAGGAAGCGCGAAACCGGGCGGTACGTACACGTAGAGCTGGGAGATGAAGTTCTGGCCGAAGATGTACTGCGTGACCGACGAGTCTGTGAAACCCTCGATGATGCTTAGGCAGGTTCCGTCACCCTGGTGGACGATGAGGACGGATTGGTCGACGGTGAAGCGCTGCTGGCTGATGACGACCGTGAACTGCAGCTGTGTGTCACAGGGCACGATCCAAGAGTTCGTCTGGCCCGGAATTGTAGACTGCTGCGTCTGCTGCGAGCCGGAGATGGCGTCATCTGCGCACACACGAAACACGACGGGATGTCAGCAAGGCTTGGCGCACCGCCATATCATGCCCGAGAACACCTACGGATGAGGCGCGCCTCAGACATGGGCATGTAGATCCCGGGGTAGTACGGGTCGACGTTCACGAGGATCGGGTCCGTCACCGCGACGTTGTTGCTCCCGATCTTCGCCGCCCAGCCGTCGAGCTGCACCGTGAGGTCCGGCTGGGTGTTGTTCGCGAGGTAGCCGCTCGTGATGCTCGTCTGCACCGACTTCCACTGCACCTTGTCCGCCTGGTATGCGGACTGGTC